GTGTGTGTGTGTGTGTGTGTGTGTGTGTGTGTGTGTGTGTGTGTGTGAAAGAGCGAGAGAGGGAGAGAAAGAGAGAGAGAAAGATAGAGAGAGAAAGAAAAAGAAAGAGTGTTTCACTTCTACTTCCGCTTATCTCCTTACATGCTCATCTTTCTACTTGAAAATTCATTATACTTGGAAAGTGTTCCATTACAATTGAGAATTACAAAGTTCGTAATAGACACGCTGGGTGAGGCATCTTAAAGAGGTAGTTTAAGCGTAAATTAGATGGTGTATCGTTCTATACAGAAAAATTTCATGTGATGTCCTTACGTGTTAAGTGTTGATTGTCGCGCACAATGTGGAATTAGAATCACGGTGTGCGGTAGAATTTACGGGTTAATCGAGATAAAGATAAATCTTAGACTAACGATCGATTATGTTCGATAGTTTATTCTGTGGCGATAGTACGTGTGTCAAGTCAAGTAAAATCGTAATAGAAGCCCGTGCGGAAGCGTCTTCACGTCGTGCGTTTATAGGTTATATTTTTATCCACGAACAATCATCGACGGAAACAAACGATTTCACTCTGATTCTTTTTCCAAGTTTCTTTTTCTTTTCCTCCTTTCCCATTTATCGTTTCGATTTTCGATGTGAAAACGCTTCTTTTAGCGCTCTCAAAAAAATTAATCGAATCCTCAAACTTCAATCGATCCTCGCACAAATACACCCAGGCGACGAAATCGCGATCGCGAAAGGACACGTTCGAAAAAGAAAGTGGGGAAACAGCGAGAAATCTCTTTCATCTCTTCCTTGCATTACACGCGCCAACCGTTTTTCTACCGTTTCGTAGAAATGGACTTTTTTCCGTTCCAACGACATCCGAATAAAAAAAAAAAAAAATCATCGTGCGTTCACGATGATCAAACATGTCCTGCAAATTCTATCGATTCGAACAATCTCGTCCTAGCGAAAATGTTTGCCCCTTATAGATATTCACGTGACGTGGGAATACCTTCTAGGACAGTGTGTTTCAACCTTTTCAGCCCTAGATCGTTCCTTGATAGGGAGGAAATATTGATGGAGCTTTGGTTTGGAGAGTACAAAATCCGTGAGAAAGTGTGCACGAGTATGGTCGAGTCGATAATTCTATCGAATGTTGATACAGATGAAAGTATATAATATTATAATTTTATGGAAATGAGAAAACCGATAACGATATGGAATTTTTCCGATTCCTTCTGTTAATCCAAGTTTTAAGCGTGCGTAATTTTATCAAATGTTGCGGATGAAAATATAATTGCAGAGTTTATCGAGAAAAATAGTGATACAGAGAAATTTATAAATGTTGTCAAAGTGAACAAATTATAGGGTCAGAGTTTAACGCAAGATACACATTAAATCACCAATACACAATGATTCCTCGTTGGATATTGTCGATTTACCTTGTTTAAAATGAAAGAAAGAAAACACGAATAATATAAATCTATTATGAGAATTATGATTTCGTTGCGAAAGAAATAAATTGGTAAGAAAATATTTTAAACGAAAATCTAAAAAACGATACGATCGAAAAATTCAAATATTTATGGAATAACCAACGATATGTATGCGGTTGGAAATCACTGTTCTAGGAATAAGAATGTAACGAAATGAAAAGAAAACAAAGAAAAATTCCAATAATTTTTGATTAGGCTCAACTGTAAACGAATACGATTCAAAAAAAAAAATGTACTTTGTGGAAATTGTGTAAAATGTCGTGTAAAACATGTTTCAATGAGAGGTTGTTACGTCGCTGATAATTTATTATTGTGCGTAACACGATGACTGATTTTTTGTAGTATGTATGGGCGCAATTAAAATGCGTCATGCGAGTCTTTCGAATTTTTCGCCCATATTCCTCCTCTCGAGGAAACTTTGTGGATTTGTGTACCCCCATCCGTAACCCCAGTTGGCCTATTCCCTTAATAAGAAAGATGTATAAACGGATATTGTACAAATACAAATATGACAAAAACGAATTTTATTGTAGTTTATATTGCCTTTTTCTAAAAAATTTATTTCTCTCTCGAATTTTCTTTCTCTAAAATTTCATTACAAAAAAAAGGAAATAATTTTGTTATAATTCTTTGATATCGTATTTGTAATTGGATAAAGAAAATAAAATAATTGAAGAATAGAAATATAATAAAAATATTAAAAGTACCTTTAGAGAGTCGCAAATAAAATGCAGAAAGAATAGGAGGTAATGAGAGAATAAAATAAAAGTGAACTGTTAACGCCATCTTTTGACTACGAAAGACATCTCTTTAAAGATAAGAAAGAATAGAGAATAAGCGTCATCTTTCAAATGCTTTCAAAAACTTACTGTTTTTAGCATTCGATAGATGACATTAGCAATCTATTCTTCTTCATTATCATCTATCAGATCCTTAATTTTATATTTTATTTGCGGCACTCTGAAGATAGCACTGATTTTAATATTTTTATATATCTGTATCTTTGTCTTACTAATTACTTTCCTTATTTATATTACATATCCTATTACAAAACGATATATATGTACAAATATGTACATATATGCTATAAAAAAAATTTATGAAACTTATCTTATTCATCGTCTCATATACACTTCTTTATGCAAAAATTTATTTAAAATCAATGGAAAGATAGAGGAAATATGATAAAATTTATAGAAAGAGAAGAAAAATATTCTTTCTATAGTTTCCTTCTTTTTTCTATTAAATCTGTTTGTTTCAGAAAATAGTACATAACATACCACATTATTATTATTTTTTTAAAATACGGACTGATTATTATCAATTTTTGATAAATAAAAAATCTCATGCAGAAGAAGAATATTTTTAAATTACTTTTTAAACTAAAGTATTAATTGTGATGAATATAATGTATATTCAATCACAATATATATATATTCACAATATATATATTCGTTATAAAAGTATAAATATACTTCGAAATAATGAAGCAAAAAAATGATCAAATAAAAAATAAAATAAATACATACAGTATACAAGCAAAATATCAAAGTTCTCTTTGAAAAAGTATAATGGCGTCCATATTGAAAGTTTTCCCGCCTTTGAAGTTGGACCATTAATCTGTAGGCAATCTGTACAAAAAAGAATAAAAATTTTCAAATAAATGTATAAAATTTTAAGTAAAATATATAAAATTAATCGATCATATTAAAATAAAACAATAATTAACTACAAATTTCATCTTAAAAAGTTATAATATGAATTAATTAAAACTATAACCGTCAAATAAATGAAAAATGAATTTAGCTCTCGTAAGATCATTAATTATAAATATAAACGAATATTGATTGAATAGTAATATATGAATAATAAATAATACATAATATAAAAGAATAATACATAACTATAAAAGGAAAAATATATATATATTATGCAACAAACAAATTACACACGTCACGGTAAAATAAAACTTCTAATCGTTACAAATATCGATAGCATAATGACGCATTGCGTCACAATTTATTTCGATTATCGAATTAGAAAGAAGAAATATGGCAATACAATAATAAATCGAAATATATCAAAATATGTCGAAATATGTCAAATATGACACGAACGCGAATTCATGTTATAATTTCTTAAAAATACTATATTGAAAGAAAAATGTTATCAATCTTAAACGTAACATTGGATGAAAAAAAGAAAAAAACATATAAATAAATGTATTTAGAAACACAAAACGAATCGATAGAATTTAATTTGATAAAATAAAATTGACTCTATATATTAAATACTAAAAAATATAAATAAAAATATAGAATCTTATTTTAATGAATCTCTTTATTTAAAAGAATAGAAATTAAAATTATCAGAAATCGTAATATGTGCATATATATATATATATTATATATACTATAAATCATTTTTCCTTTGAAATTATTTCCATTGAAGCATAAATTGCTTAATGAAAATTATAATCATAAAACAAATCCATAAAAAAAACTGTTAAAATGAAATAACAAATGAATTCAAATCTTAACTTCAACGAAGTACACATTACCGGTAACCTCAATCAAATAAATGATCGATAAAAAAAATATAAAGAAACTTAAAATATTGATTAATTTTGTCATAATAATAATAAATGAATTATTAAATAAAATAAATTTATAATAATTATAAATTAAAATAGAAAAATATGAACAGAATTACTTACTGCGTTGAATCGAAGCCGGTTACGATCGCACGTCCTTTCACGATGATTTTCCACAAGAGACTAAAGTCACACGCCATAATTTAAATAATGGCTTACTGTTTGACAACAAAAGTAAATCTACCATCGAAATCGAAAAATTACAGTTATTACATTAATATATTTTAATTATTTTAATTAATTATATTATATTATGAGCAAATTATTAATGTATTTATATAGTAAATTTTAAAAATTAATTTAATAATTAATTATTTGACTTATATATATATTTATATTAAATCACTTATATATGTTACTTGTATATTTTTATTAATTCACTTATTTGATTTATTTATTGATTATTTATCGATTTATTCATTAATATATTTTTAATTTATTTATTAAATTATTTGTTTAATTATTTGTTTAATTTATTTGTTTTTAATTTATTTATGGATTTTTTTATAATTCGATAGTTTGATATCATTTTTTGAATAATAATTTATGTAAATCATGAACAATTTTGAAAATTTTTTTAAATACGGAAAAATACAATTGTTGGACATCGTGGTATTGCGAGACAAGAAGGTGATTATACATCAAAAATATATATAAAAAATATAATAAAAATACATTATTAAATTATAAATTTAATAATTTTTTTGTAAAAATTAAATGCATTAAAAAAGATTGAAACGTTAGAAAGAAATTTAACATAAAAATTAAATATGTTTATAAAAATCTTGAATATAAATTAAAAATTTAATTAAGTATTAAAGTATTAAGTAAAATTTAAATAAGTAGCATAAAAATTAATTGTTAATACAATATCTTGAGAGTTAAAAATATTTCTTCAAAAGCACTTAACACATATAAGAATTAATTAGAATACGTAATATATATAGAAACACACATAAAAGTAATTTTAGTTGAGATTTTTAATCGATAAATTAAACAAAAATACAAAATAATTAATATGCGTATATAAAAATAGAACTTTTGGCGCCATCTCTCGATCATACTTTTAGAATTTATTTTATCTTTACTACTCAACAGATGGCGCCACTAGTCTGATTTTTATTCTATCTCTATCTTTTTCTCATTATCTTCTCTTTTTTTTTATGTGTTTATTTGCGGCACTTTGAAGATAACGCTGATTTCAATGATTTCATGATTTTTATTCAATTTTTATCTTTCACTCACAATTTGCTCTTTTTTTCTAATTAACTTTATTGTATCATTGTCCAACTTATTAATTATAAATCTCAACATTTTTATTATATTTTTATTTGGTATTGTATAATAATTTTCTATAAATTTTTGTATAAATTTTAATCATATTAAAATTATCAGAATATTATATGTATATTCATTTTTTTTTATTAAAATTATAAGTGGGGATACGAAAGTTAAAATAATTGGATACATGATTATTTATAATTTTTACATTTTTTATTAATAAAATTTAAATTCTTTAAAATAGAATGAAAGAAAAATTAAAAAAGAAAATTTTCTATAATATGATTGATCTATTATTATTTTCAAATTAAGTAGTATTTTTTTCACAAGAAAATTTATATTTTTATTTTTTTTAGATAAATATAAAAAGCTTTTTTATCATATATAAAACTTATATATCATAATAAAATTTGCATAATTTAACTTCATTCTTATTGTTAATAATTAATATAACTTTCTTGTATTAATATTCTCAATTGCAAATGAATAACAATCTCCATTTGTTAAAATTATTTAATAAAATTTTTACACCTACATTTAATACATTTTCTTTTATGTCATGCACAAAGCAATGCACTTGGACACCGTTGGACTAACCAAGAACAAACAGCTTTTGTACAGAAAGAGGGCTAATTAATATCTCATTGAGCTAATTTATGACGATACAAGGCTACAAAGCCAGTGTCATATAATTAACATCTGAACTTGAAGTCGAAAATAAAAGGAATGGGATTGAATGAAACAACTCAGTGGGACGTTATAAAATCCGTATACTTGCATACTTTCTACATTTACAGATATCTATGCGTCGATAAATACAAGACAAGATATACTGTAATGATAAAAGGAAGACTATTTTCTACGATCGGTTATTATTTTTTGTTTGTTGGATTCTACGAATTTTATTTTACGTATGCATTTCGATATAACCAATTGTAAACAAACTTCAAGTGTCGCCATTATTTAAATAAATAAATTTTTCTTTTGTCTGTTTTTTTTATTCAATTTTACATTGTGCAGTCATTGTGCGTGTGTATGCACGATTGTTCGAGTAAAGTGCTTGAATTTTTGCGAATAAATGTATCATTCGGATGATGATTATTATTATATTCGGTTTCAATATTAAAATAGTAATTTCTTATTGTTTTGTATAAAAAGAGAATCGAATAAAGAAATAAAAAATAATTCTTTTCATTTGATCTATTTCTAAATTATATTCTATTAGATTCTGTTATATAAAAATTTCTATATTAATTATATTCACAATAGTACGTATCATTTTGTATTTATAATGTTTTGTACGATCTCCCGAATAATAAAGATATTCGCATTTTACATGCACTTGTTATTTATCTATTTCTTAAATTATTAAAAAAATTCATTTAGTTTGAATGCGAGAATGTACGCTTTGTATAAATTAGGTGAATGTGATTGATTTGAATCGCGCTATTAAATAAATCACAGTGATCCTCGTTACGATCACGACCTAAGGGGTGGTCGTATCAATGTTCATTCCCTTATCTTCACGTTCTCGTTGTGTCTTTCTTCCAATTAGCCGGTGCTGGTAATTTCCGGTTGCTGGGATCCAAATTGGATCTACTTTTGAAACATTTTCGACAGGTCAATCGCCAGAACGCAAGCCTAAAATCGGCCGAATAGAAGGCATAGATGAATGGATTTATAGCCGAATTAATCCACCCTGAAATCGAAACAATTGAAATCATTGAATAATAATATATAGTAGAGCATAATAACGTTCGAATGGAGAAAGAATGTTTTCCATCGAGATATTCTTCAATTTTCTTGCTCCAATAATCATTTAAATTAACAAAATTACTATCAGACAAACGTAAGACTTGCAGTTAAATTGTAATATTTTTCTTTTATATCTTAATTTTTTTATTTATTATTTATTATTTAAATCACTTTCATATTTATGAATGTATATAATTAATATTAAAAAATTGAATCATGATCGTTTCATGCAAATTATAATGACAATTACAATTACAATTATTTAAAACAGAATGATCGCTACCTAGCCAAGTTAATGCAGGCATCAAGATATCAGGTGGTTCGACAGGCACGAAAGGAGTGGCCAAATAGAGGATGAAGAATGGTAACCAGCAGGCCACGAATCCACCTAGGAAAATTTACAATAAAATTAACAATAAAATTACCTCGATAATTTATATTGTAACAATTTATCATTTATCCGCGATCAACTATAATAACTAGAATAAATGTTATTACATTCAAAATAATGAACCAGAATCAATTTTGACCTACCTACGACCACTGCCAAAGTGCCAGCTGTTTTTGTCTCTCGAGCGACTCTGTTGATACAACTCTGTTGATGGCTACGAACGATTCCGGACTTTTTGCTCGTGCTAGAAGGTTCTGCTTCGTCGGATGGCCTGTCGCATGTCACACTGTTGGTCACGCATTCCGTTCTTCGCGCCCTGATGCTCTTCGCGCGTTCAATCTGCGGCAAATTGAGCTTGGGTTCAAATCCTTTCCAAACAGAGTGTAAAAAGAGAATAAAGCGGTGAATCTAGAGCACGGCATTTAATTCAAGAAGACATTTGTGGAAATATCGTGGGACTGGTTGTTATCGATTATATCACGTGTGACGCGAGCAATGTAAAAATATTTCGAGCAAAGAATATTTGTAAGATACCGAGAAAGAATCTGAAGGAAATAAGAAAAAAAAAATTTAGATATCTCTCCCTCGAGTGTAATACAGTTCTTCAAGGGGAATTTATTCGATGTCATCCTTTTTATAAGGCAAGTGATATTCATAGAAAAGACGTAATTATCCGGTTAAGTAGTTCTTGGAAATAAATATCTTGGTGGTTATTCTATTTTAAAAAACTTTAAATTACATTTTTATATACAATGATAAAAATACAAGGAACTTTAATGAGATTGTTAAAGTAAAAATAATACGTAGTATTTTAAGATATGATGTAAAATCAAAATTCAATATGACTTAACGAACATTAGGTATTTTCTTAACAATTTTATATAAATTAATATTATCATTCGTTAAATATTATCAATCAATATCAATTTTTGTCAAGTTTTTATAAAAGTATGATAATGACGAGCGCAAGATTTTGATGTCACCGTCGAAAGCAATATCGAACAAGTCTACGCTTCCATATTCATGAGTTTCGCATTACGTAGTGGAAATCTGTCGAACGGTGTCATCGTAACAGGTTTGTAAGCATTAGTATCAATAGATTCAAATTGCAAATCGATTTCTCATTTATACGCGCTCGTCAGTCTTCCCATGCAAATCTGCGTTTGATTCATCCGTTCGCTAATTTCACGATATTTTAATATTTTCCAAATTCCACGATTTATCTTTTGAAACATTTTTTTTCTTCTATTTGTCCTAATCCCTTATAAAATAAATTTGAATAGATTTAACGCGTGATATTTTTATTATTATAAGAAATTGTGCAAAAAAATTAGAAAAATAATGTAAAAGGATGTTTCAAATAAACGTGAATTTTCCAATGATCCGTATGCTTTCAAAATTATACAATTTACTTATGTTATATGAGTAAATTTGTTGACCAAGTTTTGATGAAATATACGATTTCATAGATATAAGATATAATACAACTTATTGAAAATTGTGACAAGAAGCAAAATTCTAACCTATCTAATCTAACCTCGATAATTCACGATTGCATTTCAGAAACTAGGACTGGAAATAAGAGCAGTCTTCATGCACAAATAATTTTGACGATTAAAATATCTAAAGAATCTTCTAGAGAATCAATAAATGTAAGCACATGAATAAAAAATCCACAAAAAGATAAAAATATAAATAGAAAGAATAATATTTATATTATGTTGAAATTGTTTCATATTTGAGAATAATATTCTCAATTATTTCATTAATGCGATTACAAAAACGCATCTCGAAAAATATGAAGAAAAATAAAATATTTTTTACGGAATCAAAATATAGAATATAGAATAACATATAAAAGATTTTTAATGCTTACCAAGACATTGCGTCGTGGTCGAATATTTTCACTTTCGGTTGCTTCGAGATTTCTATGTCGGCTGGCGATCACACAAGATATCCTTCCGTAAACGTAAAGCATCACCAGCATCGGTAGGAAAAACGAACCCATCGCGGAAAATATCACGTACGAGGAGTCCATGTTATACGAGCATTTTTTAATATCGCGATTCGTCGCACGTGGAAAGCATCCTAGCAAAGGTGGACTGGTGATGGCGCCGGCTAACACCCATACTGCGACGATCATTAGACCGGCCAATCTCTTGCTACGTCGCCTCCGGCTGTATATCAACGGTTGAGTTACAGCTAGATACCTTGAACGAAAATTCATTTAGAAAGCACATAAGACGGAATCAAAAGTGTAATTTTGAGATAAAAGTAGGATGATGGTATGAGGATAATTGTGGTTTTTTATCGTTTTGAGTTTGGCAAGTGGTGTGGATAAAAATTAACAGGTTAGATTATGAAACGTTATCTCATCCATTTTATTCTTCTCTCTTCTCTAATGAATTATCGTTTTTTTAAATATTTAGTTTCTTATGACAAAAAGTTTTTAAAGACTAAGCAGTATTTCGATGAATTCATTACTTCTAGAACTTCAGCAATCGAATCAGTGATAAAAAAAATTTATTTCATATTGAAAAAAATACTGATCGATAAAATCTAACTAAAATAAATGTCATTTCATCTTTCATAATTTTAGTTGGAAATTTTGAAATAGTTGAAAGTTTTAATAGGTTTAATCGTTCGATTTAAGATGATAAGTAAAGTTTTATGTTTTAAATAGTTCCGTTTGACCTATAAATTTTGTCAGTTAACGTGCTATCGAATAAACTGTTAGAAAATACAGTTAACGTTCGTTTCACGTTTTCACTCTTACTCATTTTATATCGGTTTCGAAATCGAGAACTTTTAATTTTTTTTCAGCTACGAGTTCGAAAACAGATTTAAATACCGATCGATACAAATGGTACATGATCGTGTCTCTCTTCATAATCACAGAAAATCTCCTGAAAGTTTAAACGATTTCATTTCAACACTAGGAGAAGATCAGGATTACTACTGTGTCTATTGGTATTCGAGCATAGGCGAGGCGTTTGCCCACTCTATTCCTGCACGGTAAAATTTGCCGCGGTAATCTCGTTTCGTTTCGACGTGCCTTGATTCGGTAATGCAGCGTACTTACCTGTCTATGGATATGGCGCATAACGATAGTATGCTGGCAGTACAGAGAAGAATGTCGAGGGAGACCCACGAGTCGCAGAGCATCGGGCCCAACTCCCAGGTACCACCTGTGAGCTTCGTCAAATTCATTTTATTAGACATCTTGTGCGAAAATTCATGAGTTTTTTTTTTAATTTTTTATTTAATTCTTATTTAATTTTTTTTTTAATTCTTAAATAAATTAGCGATGATGATACATATTTAGACAATTGATTTCATTATTATTGCAGCACGAAAGAAAGAATTCACGCAATCGAGCCTATTTGTATAAAAATAAATAAAAGTTTGGACATAAGTAAGAAAAAAATGTGTATTTCGACGAAACGTTCAGGAATACTCGATACTGTTAATTTGAAAAGAAGGAATTGAATAGACGAAGAAATTGATTTGACAAATTTGGAAAAATTCAACCTCTTGTATTAACGATGTAAACATAACCTCAAAATTTAAATATTCAAGGATAAGCCCAGGCAATAAAGTGATAAATTATTAACTAAAGTTTAGAGACAAAAAGAAGACTATGTATCGAGACTAACTATCATGTTATTATTATATTTTAATTGTTGCTCTGCAATTATATTTTTATATTGTTAAAAGACACGTTTCATGATCATTCTTCATCTTTCGATTAAATATATTCTCATGTTATTGTTCGAACAATCACGTTTTTTTTTACCAATTATAGATATTTTTCTCCATCTTATCTCATTCTGTTTCAAAATTAATTTCCACTACATCCACGATCTATGCTGACGATATTGGATACGTATCCACGCTTTCTATTCATTGAATAGACCTACTACGCGCCCATACCACTTAAAACAGTTAAACAGCCGCGAGCTGAACCCATTCGCCTGACGAGTACACACGCGAGCGTGCCAGACTTCGATCTCATTGTGGCGTTGATTGCTTTTCGAGTTGTTCGCGGTAACCGTGTAATTGTTGCAAGAAATATACGAAGATAATTAAATAGGCGAAAATTTACATAAGATTTGGTCACGAAAATATTCGAGCCGAGTATTGTTTCGCGTGTATTTTTGTGTTTGCTTTTTCTATTCGAAAAAATTTTCATCGTGTTTCGACGTTATCTAGAATTTATCGAATATTTTATCTTAGTCCATGAGTGACCAATTTTATTATCTAACTTCTAAATTTCTTCTAGCAATTTTCCTCCCATGAGACGATCACAGATGCTGACCCGCATCACTGATGAAACTACTTACATAACCTTAACTCTTTTAAACTATTTAATACGATCATGTATCTACAGAATATTTTATTTATACTATAAATTATTTTTATTAACGTTGATATATTAAAACAATATGAAAAACAGAATTAAATTAGAATTTCAAGAATTTTTGAAATAGTCATTCTTCAATTTCAAGAAATATCTAGTTTTTATTATTTATTATTGACGTATTTCTTGAATTGTGATTATTAAAGTTTTCAATAAAGTGAAATGTGACGCGGATGAAATTTATATCGCTTTAATATTTCCCACATAGGTGCCGAGATACGATGTTGTTTAATTTGTTGGCAAATATAATTTGTAATGTAATAATTTTTGAAACTATAACTTCAATTTTTTCACTACACAAGAAACAACGTTATATTTTTCTTTTCTGCTGGAATGCACACTACCACATTTCGAAAAACACATTTATGAAACCGTTGAAATAGACGATAAGAGAAACTAGATGTTACACTAGGTGGACTATAAATCGAACATTATATTTATTTTTATTCGTGAGATGTATCGATATTTTACTGAAAAAACTGGAATATTTCGTTTTTGTTTTTATTATTTTTTTCCGATATCGGAAATAATTTACTTGTTCGTTATAATTGAAATGCCTTGGTCATTAGAATTATGCATCCGAGCAACAGGAATATAATAATACATGGAAATACGAGAATAAGAGAATTTTTATGAGATGAAGATGTGAATATTTCCCTCAACTATTTGAAATACGAGAGTTCTAAACCGTCATGTAGTTGAATATTCCCCCTTAAGAATTTCCATGAATTCAACGATACGAAGATAAATAA